CCAATCGCGAAACGACAGAAGATTACTTGCGATCGGATGATTGATCGTGTGTGCTGCACCGAAGATCAACCCGCCGGCGAGCGACCTGTTTATTTACCCACCTGACAGTCCTCGACCGAACAGCCGATCGGTCACGAAATCTGCCAGGATCAACTGATTGGTCGACAACTCGGTTGGCGATTGCTCTGCTGGTTGATCAACCACCACACCAACCGCCAACCGAGCAGCCGATCAACCAATTGACTATTCTGTGCTAATTGATCGTGGAGAACGATCGCGGAGAATCCTCAAGGCAAATGATCATGTGCACGATCGAAACCGGCAAACGAAACGCACAACCGATCAAGAAAACGTCGATCCCGATCTTCGAACGAATAAAAAGCACTTCGTCACAATCTTGTTGCACATCGAACCTCGTATAACATCGAACCATGCTGCCCATGGAACCTGGCTCCACATCAAACCTCGGTGGGCGTCGAACCTCGTCGGACGTCGAACTTTGGAGGACGTAGGGTCGTCGACACTTGACGGTCACTGAACGGCGAACGTTGAGCACCCACCACCCCACGCATCGCCGACAATATTCTCATTATCGGAACGTGGCCGTCACGAGCGAACTGATCGCGAAATCAAACACCGGAAGAAGTTGGGATCCCGGCGAGCTTGTGCAGCTGTTCGAACACGCTTCTCAACCCCGGTGCGCAACCACAGCCAGGGACGTGGAAAATTAGAAGTCCACCAGGATCCGAACTTCAAGAAATTGCTCGACGGCGAGTTTGGCAGACACGTGTGCATCTCCCACGCAATTTCACCAAGTTCGGATCCCGACGAACTTCATGCAGCTGTTCCAACATGCTTCGCAACCACGGTCTCCAACCATAGCCTGGGACGTGCAAAAATTGGAAGTCCGCCGGGATCCGAACTTGAAGAAATTGTGGGACGGCGAGTTTGGCAGACAGGTGTATGTCTCCCACGCAATTTCGCCAATTCCGGATCCCGGCGAACTTCATGCAGCTGCTCGAACACGCTTTGCAACCCCGGTCCGCAACCACAGCCTGGGACGTGAAAAAAAATGAAGTCCGCAGGGATCCGAACTTCAAGAAATTGCAGGACAGCGAGTTTGGCAGACAGGTGTGTATCTCCCACGTAATTTCGCCGAGTTCGGATCCCGGCCAACTACAGGTTCCTGCTGGCCTGCGGATCCAAACCTCGCTCGCACTGTTCCTTGCACACTCGTCGAGTCCGGACCTCGGCGGACCTCGGATCTGTGATAATGCGAAGTCCGCCGGGATCCGGACTTCTACTGCATGGTTCCTCGCACAGACGTCAAGTTCGCACCCCGGTGACTTCGCTTGTCTTTATGTGCGGGTTCAGAACGCGGGTTTCTAGCTCCCGAGGTTTGGAACAACTTTGTATTTGAAAAAATGTGTAGCCCGCCGGTTGTTTCTTTTCCACGCGGTCTCGAGAAGTTTGTATCCCGCCGAACACCCTACCGTGGATCCGGACCTCGCGTGGTAAGTTCGGACCCCGGCGAACTTCGCGTCGCGCATGGTGTGGGTTCTGACTGTGTCCTTTCTCGCAAACGGGTGTTTGCCACAACTTTTGATTCGCAAAAATGCGAAGTCCGTCGGGATCCGTACTTCTCGTGCAAAGGTTCCTCGTCCCATCGTCGGGTTCGCCTGCTGGGCCGTGGATCCGAACCTGCTGTCTTCCTTTCGCAATGCATGTGGCAGGTGATGTTCCTTTCGCAAGTTCGGATCCCGGCGAATTTGCCAAGTTCGGATCCCGACGAATTTGCCAAGTTCGGATCCCGGCGAATTTGAGCTGTCTTCCTTTCGCAATGCACGTGGCAGGAGATGTTCCTGATGGGCCGTGGATCAGAACCTGCCGTGCACGGTTCCTCAGACAATCATCAATTTCAGATCAAGGCGGACTACAGATTCTATAAAATGCAAAGTCCGCTGAGATCCAAACTTCCCGTGCACGGTTCGTTGGAAAACCGTCGACTTCGGACCCCGGCGTGCTTCACCATTCGGGTGGTGCGGGTTCTGACTGTGGACTTCTTGGCGACCAGTGGATTGCCACAACTTTTTATTCGTACGAAATTGAAGTCCGCCTAGATCCAAACTTCTTGGCAGTTTTGGACGTCGGGTTTGGGAGACAGCTTCGTCTTTCCCCCGCAGTCTCGCCAAGTTCGGATCCAGGCGAACATGTCGCGGGGCGTGTTTGGGGCTGGCCCGCGGGGCGTGTTTGGGGCTGGCCCGCGGGCCGGTAGATGTGAACACCGACAAAGCCGGCCACCCGACATCGAATCTTTGGGCATACATTGCGTCTAATGCCACGGGTCGCACATCGCAAGACATGACTCGTTTACAAGTGTCTCCATGCCCGTGTGTGTCATCGGACATGTGCGCGTGGTGTGCAGGTTGCGTGATGGAGGGGACCTTCTCGACACCACGCATCTTCGAGTCGATCTTCTCGAGACCACAGGCCATGAGTGCCGAGACGCACATTCGCTTAGCAGAACCTTTTCGTCCTTGTGCGAAATCCGCGCGACATTTCAACGGTGTGACAACGATCCACGGAGCGACTGCAGAGGACTTCGACAAGGACCCATGGATGACCGTCGTTTTGTGCAGGGACGCGCATCTTGACGACTGGGGCGAGGGCAATTGGGCCAGTATGGAGAGTTACTGCCCTTGGGCAAGCCAGTACAAGTTCACGAATATATTGGAGTTCGGGGACCTCATCCCTCTGCTTGACGCCGTCCTCGGACATAAGTTCCTGAACCATATGCGGAAAGCACTAAGCTGCATTAGCCGCTATTTCAGTCGCCTCGAGTGCCACAACGTCAGGTCGTTGCCACGAACTTGGGGTGGCTTGCGGAAACAAGAGTTGGTGGACAGTGCTCGTCGCTGCTCGTTCCTGGACCAGTACCCGCTCCGTTGCCCCGGGATTTCTCCACGAGTTGTGTCGTACTGCTGTGTGCAGTTGACTGTGTCCGGATCTGATTTCACCAGAGTTCTGTGTGTTGCTGCTTCAAATAAGAGCAGGAAACTCGTCGACGCAGTTGTGCTCGTGTCGCGCAACGAGGTTGTGATTGAAGGGTCCAAATTCGTGCCGATGCGTGGGCCTGAACGTGTGGATGGGTGGCCAGATTTGGTGATAGCAGGTCAGGTTCGAAACTATTCGTTGTTTCGTGAGGTTGAGGAGAAAGCGGCTGACATACGGGACTGCATAGGAAACTCCTTGGTACGACCGGGGGTGTTTGTTAGGATGAAATACATGTCCGTTTTTTCGGAGATTGCATCGGTCGACGCACCACAGACCCGTATCTACGAATCGTCACTGAATGCTTTGTTTAGCTTCAGTTCACGACATCGTCCCGGAGGATCCCCAAATGTCGCCGCATCCGAACCGGTCTTTAGTCTTTCTGTTTAAGGGAAAAGAACGGCGAGGAACGACATTTCAACGGTTGTGTTGCCTAACATGTCAGATTTGTAGGACTGCAGAGAAGTGTGAGACTCAGCGGTTGCAGGTACACGCTGCACCGCGTGCTTGTCGTGCAAATCCCCGGTCGTCGTTCGGTTTAGTGACATGACGGAAGTCATATTGGACGTCCGTCTCTGACGCCGTCTCCTGCCATGTCGTGCCCCGGCGAAGTTCAGATCTCTGCGAACTTCGCGTTCTGGCCTCTCCGTTAATTTGTCTCTGGTGTCATTGGCGTCGGGCGGGCCGTGGGAAAAACCCGTCACCGCGGAAGGATCTTCCCGTAACCAATTTTCGCCCATTCACCATCAACATGTGCCAAACAGTCGGTCACTGTCGTAGCGAGATGCCAAAAGCACTCTTAGAGATCCCCGTCGCAAGGTCGCGCGAGCTTTGCGTTTCCTGAAACCCGTTGGAGATCCCGGTTGGCGGGCCCTCTTGTTGGAAATCCCGTTGGCACCGTGCTAGGACACCTTGCTAGGACCCTAACTTTTTGTCTGTCTCTCTCGCAGCCTCCTGAAGTTCGAACCCGGCGAACTTCCTGTGACGCCTGTGTATTGAACGTGCGCGGGGCTTGATGATCCCCCGTGGATTGCGATACGAGTCAAACCCTGATCCACAACTGCTCCCCCAAGGACTCATACAATGTTGTCGCGGCTGCTCGTTCGAACTTGGCTTCATCAAATGCCAAGTTGCGCATATCAGAAGAAGTTCGGATTTCGGCGAACTTCTCCTTTTCAAACGGCCTTTTGTGTTAGTGCTGCCTTTCCGGCTCGTGGTTCAGTCCAATCTGTGTTTCTCTGATACCGTCTCTGCCTGTCGCATTTTCCTGAAGTTCGGATCCCGACGAACTTCACGTTTCGGTGGGTGCGTTGGTTTGGCTTTGGACAGACACTTTTAGTACGGATGTCGGCGAACTTCGCGTCCTGAACTGTCCGGGTTCCTATTGCTAAACGGAGGACACTGCCCCGACCAACACGGGCTTTGTGTGTCACCACCCGTCCATTCCGATCCGGTGGACATCCGTGTTCCGAAAACACCGACGTGGTTGTCGCCCGGTTGCATGAAGCGTGTGCCCTTGTAAAGAATGATCTCGTTGCAGGTAAGAGGTCATTGCTGGTCTTCGCGTTCGAAGTTCGCCGGGATCCGAACTTCGAGGTCCTCGTATGGCGTCATGTGACCGACGTGTTGAGGGCAAGGTGTGCCTCCTCTGTTTTCCGCCTGCGTTGTGCTTTGACTGCGATTTGACGCTCGTTGGTGTTTTATTTGTTTTCCGTTGTCGTCCGCAGACAATATGTCTTCGTCCAGGGGCGAAGGGGAGCCTGCAGCGACGTCCGGGATGGGATCTGGGAAAGGTTCTACAAAATGGTCGTCTACGACCTCGAGGACGTGGTCCGACCACGCTAGGTCGAAATGGTTCGTCGACAAGTGCTGTGCTGATGCTACGAACCCAGTCCAACAGCCGTGTGGTCCTGTGATCTTCGTCCAAGCCAATAAGCGCCGCAGGGTTCTGGGGGCTGTCTTGCGGTGGGAGAATGCGAAAGGTATTCGTCGACGGTTCTACATGAAAAATGTGTACGGTTCGAAGGGGAACGTCGTCGCCGGCGCCAAAGGGGCAGTTCTCGACATGTGTCTGTTCGAGGGGTTCGGAGTGGGTGCTGCGAACACCCCGTTCTACAACGACCTCCGGCGACAGGGCGGGTTTGTTTTGGGTCGAGAGTTCTTCGACCTGTTGGAGGACGAGGGCATCGCCCTCGACGTCCCTTGCGAAGTCGGTCCCGACCTGGAACTGTCAATGCCTTTGCAGCGGTGCGGCGGTTGTGAGTCGAGCGGGGCAGCGGGGGGGGGGGGGGATCTGGGTTCTGGGGAGGCTACACATGTGCAGCGGGAGGATGCCAGAGGTCAGTTTGACAACAGCGAAGATGAGGCGACACCACGTCCGCCGTTTTCGCCGTCGCGGGAAAGAGACAGGTCCGTGCTGTCCATACCTGGGGTCCGGCAACAGACCGCAGCGGATCCCAGAGAAGAGAGAGTCCTGTGTGGGTCTGACTTGGAGCCCGCCGAGGGCCATGGCGCGGAAGGCGAGGCCGTGGGCGGGGAGGGAGCGCAGGGCACTCCCCAAAAAAGGAGGGGAGAATGTCAAAAAGAGTTGGTGGGTTCTTCGAAGAAACAGAAAACCAAGACCCCGAGGACTGCGGGAGAGAAACGGAAGGGGAAGGGGGTGGAAGAGGCCCACCCGGGTAGCAAACGTCCAACTTCGAAACATAAACAGCCTGAGTCGGGACCTTCTTCACCACGGCCTGCCATCGACGTGGACGCCGGGTACTTCCTGAAGTACAAAGACGGCGTCAAGACAAGGCGGGAGTTTGAGATTAGCCCGGCTCAGATCGTTGACATAAGGGAGTGGGAGGATCTTTACAACCAACAGTCGCTAGATCTCGTCCTCGTGGAAACGATAAGGGAACCAATGCGGTCTGCGTTCGAAAATAAAGAACAGACGTACGAGTTGCCGGTCTTCAAGCTCTCACCACTGGGGCTTCAAAAACCAACTCCTGGGACCAAGGCACAACGTCTGAAGCCGGAGGAGTGGAAGGATAAGCTGGCGGGAGAATACTACTACTACGCGGTGTGCGGGCAGCACAACGCGGCTGCAGCCAGGTCGCTGTTCGACAGCGAGGTGGCCAAGAAGTACGATTTCGAGCGGTGGCCGGCACGGATGGTGTACTTTTTCGACAATAACTTCGAAGGGTATTTTCTTGTTAGTTTACAGGACAACAAGAAGGACCTGAAGGCGCCTCCCAGACAGTTGAAACTTTCTATGAAAGACATTCGATGGCAGTGAAAGCATGACGGCTACCCGAGAGCTGTGATGGGGAACCTTAGCGGGAAACAAGATCAGGTCAGGGTTTGGCGTAAGTTTTGTACAACGGCGCTTTAAACAACTTGTGGCATTTCACGGATCAAAAGGAAGAGGAGGCCATTAAGAAGCAAAATGCTGCCCTGCGTTCTTACTTACCTCTGGTGATGGCTGGGGAAAATGTCTGGAAACTGGCCATGGAATTTTTCGAAAAAAGGGAGACGGGCAGATTGTTGAGCCACGATGGAGCGAAGTGGACAGTAAAAAAGAAGAAGGTCAAAAACGTAAAGCCTGGGGTCGCCTACATCCACAACGACAAATTGGGCAGAACGGAGGTGGTGTACAACGTCCCCGTGGACCCGCCGAATAAAAAGGGCAAAAAGGAGAAAGAGGAGGGCGATTGGTTCGTGCAAGTGCCAGACCTGGACGCGCATTGTTGGAAAGCAATGGAATCACTCACGGACAATGAGAAGTGTCGCGTTCTGAAAAAGGTGCTTGCTTGCGAGGTCGTTTGGGTCCAAGCCGGCTCCCCGTCGTTGGCGAAGTTGGGAAAGTTCAGCGTGCAGGACATGGTTCAGCTGGTGAAGTGCGACCGTATGCTGGTTCGGTTGTGGAATTACTACCAATTCAAGCACGAGAAGAGGCCGTACGCGGACTAGATCCAAAGGTACCCTTTCCTGAAATCGAGGTCTGTCGTGTTCAAGAAGTTTGAAGGTCAGGGATTGGATGACGAGTTGTGGGATAAGAGCAGGAAACACGTTTCCGACTCGGCGCTGTTCAAGGACTGCCCGCCGTACATGGGTTGCGACCAGGACAACTCGATTGAGGTGAGGGAGAAGTTGGCGGGCCACAAGAAGTTGTCCGTCGACTGGAGAAACACGGTTCTCTCCGTGTTGAATGGAAGCAGACTGAAGAGCCGGGAAGTCGCACTTGCCGAAGGCGTCGTTCACATTAAATGGAAAGACACGGGGGACGTGACATCCATTGCGCCATTCGCCAACGACCCTTTAGAGGTGGACATCAGGGGCGTTGAGCTGAAGGAGGCAGTGGCTGCCATAAAGAGCCACACGTTCGTCCTGGATCTGTGCGAGCCGGTTGACCTCAAACTGTGGAAGCCCCAAGCATGGGAGACTTTGAATTCCTATCTTTAGACGTGGTGTCCCTCGCATTGGACTCTCGTTGTTTTCGTGCGGCGGCAGCACAACCAGTCGTTTCTCGCCAGCATGCACAATCTTTCTTTCGTCAAGCTGTTGGAAGGGAAGTATGTAGGGAGAGTGCAGCAGAAAAAAAGCTTCCCCGTTGGGAACAATTTGTACACGGAGGAAGACCGCATGTACATCCTCTTCAAGGGTGACGATCTGCGCGTCAACACATCCGTGGTCTGCGAGGGAAACCTGCCCACGGGTGCCGCTGCTGTGGTGCGATTGCCTAAGAGGGTCACCCAGACGGATGTGTCCGAGATTCCTTTCACGCCTTGCGACTGGTCGTTGGTGGCGCCTGAACGACAGGGCAGCGTCTACAGGGATATGGAACGCAATCCGACCCAATTCGTCGGTCTTCTTGATTTTCTTGGCAAGAAGGGAGAGGGTGTCGTGTTCCTTGGGAAACCGCACGCGGGAAGCGTCTGGGAGCTTCGCCGGCCGGCACGTTGTCGCAATGGAAGGGAACTCTGACCTCTTGCAATTCACGATGCGGGTGGTGAAAAGCGAGGTCAATTCGAGTGGACACAATTGTGAGTTCATGGTCGTGAGGCCAACACGGGATAAGGTGTGGAGCAAGAAGACGGATATGTGGTTTAAGTTGAGCGAGAGGAAGAGGAACAAGATATACGATTTCTTGTTCCTTCAAACGCGTCCGAGGAGGGACACTGACGCCGAGTATATCCGCCGAAAGGACCACATGTTGGCACTGCTCGACAACTACCACTTCGCCTCCCGCATGAACACGAAGACGTTTATCGAAAGGCTGCAATCGCTGTACTTCGTGGAGTCTGAGGAGCAGTTGAAGTTAGCCAGTTACGCTTCCCTGATCTCCACTAACGACGAGGAAGCCATAGGTGTGGAGTTTGTCGCCTACACGAAGGAGGAGGAGAGCGACACGGAGAGCATCGACCTGCAGTACGACCTGCCTCCGGTGGACCACGGACGAGGGTCCTCGTCGGCCAGTCCATCACCAAGCGCTGCAGCCCTCGTGTCACCATTGGCCAAACCGGCGCCGGGCATCACGCCGATGAAATTGCTGGAGAGACTTAGAGCTCTGGCCGCCCCCCCGCCCGCTTTGCGTCCCGGGTCCGTTGTCCCACCCGATCATCCGTCTTGGAAGGATGACAACATCCACTTTCTGCTTGAACCGCAACGTCATTCACCTGAGCAGGACTGGGGCCATGACATGGTTTGGCATCCGGGAGTCATCCAGCCAGCGATACGAAATGGCAAGTGGGTCATGGCCGTGGTAATCCCTGGCGTGAGTCAAAGTCCAACTTCCTGCACCTCGCGAGGATTTCGGTCCTCCAGAAAGTGAAGGTCGAAAATGACACTTTAGCACCCGGCGACCTGTCCCTCATTTCCACTGTCGGTCGATTGTTCGATGAGCTTCAGGACAAGTGCTGGTTGGAATTGACGGAGGACTACTACGAGCTCGACACGAGTCCGTCGAAGGGCGTGGTGGACTGGAAAGTGGCCTTTCCCAGTGGGCCGGACGGTGGTTCCGGGGGGGGGTCACCTGGAGGCAGAGGGGATGGGGGTGGCGACGCAGGGGGTGGCAAAGGAATCCCGCCTATGGGGGAGAGAGGGTCTCACGACCGCAACACGACACCGGGAGGCAGCGCTGGGGTGGCGGGTTTCGCCGTCGACCGGACTCCGTCGACAGGCACCCGGCCCGAGCACACGACACACTCCGCCGACCCCCAGACTTCGTCCGTGGGCTCAGCGAGGGACACGTTGAGAGCTTTGGTTGCTCTGGGCAGTCGCTCGGCCGGAAAGCCGAAGTCCGCCGGGATCCGAACTACATCGGGTGAGGAGCCGCCAGAGCAGTCCGGATTGCGAAGCTGCTTGGGGTCGGGGGATCCAAGCAGGGATCGAGAAATTCGCAGCATTGCGGCGCGGGACGAAGACGTCGGAACGGTGTCGCCTGAGCGGGAGCGACGACCGCAAGGATTGCAGCAGGAGGCTGCAAGTGCAGGGTCCGGCGACACGGAGACCACGAAGTCCGCCGAGATCCAAACTTCTTCGGGCGGGGTTTGTCGGCCAAGGATTGTCGTGCCGTTGAGAGGGGCAGTGTGCACGGGGACGGAAGGGCGGTCCTCGCGATTCGGCACGGGTACCGCGGAAGGGGACGAGTTTCGTGGAAGGGAAGTAGGGGAGGAAATGGAGGAACAAAAGGGAGCGCAAGAAGGGGAGGAAGAAGGGGAAGAAGAGGTGGAAGGGGAGGAAGCGGGAGAAACGGAGCTAATTGATTTGTTTGAAGGAAGGGAGGGTGCCGGGTCTGGAGAAGACAAAGTGGAACACAGTGAGGACGATGCCGGATTTGGAGAGTCGTCTGACGAGTTCGGACAACTGTACGGAGAGCATCACGAGGATGATGTCGACGACGATGCCACGGCGATAGAGATGGAGACACAAGTGGTCAGCAGCCTTTCCGAAGAGCCTGAAGATTATGAGGTCCGGCCACTGACGTCTGCTGTCGACTTGCAACACCGGTTCGACGAGGCTTCCGTCGCTATCAGCCCGTCTGAAAAAAGTCGACATATAAGCATCGACGAAGTTATTGACGGTATCCTCGGCGACCACAACGTGTCTGCCCGTCCGTCCGCAACTGCCAACGTCGCATCTTCCGTGGCAGCTGCCCTCGCTTCGTCACCGCCAAAGTCTCTGGTGTTGCAGGCCACCCTTACCGCCGAAGGGGAAGGCGAGTGCGGTGGAGGACAGCATGTGACGTCCCCGAAAAAATCGAGGTTCGGCGGTCAGGCTCTCGACGTGCTCACTTTGCCTGCGCCAAATTCACCATCGAAGGAGCGGAGAGAGAAACAGACTGGTAAGCCGTGAAGAATGCCTTCGCATCCGGATGTCGCTGGATTACAGTCCGCGCTATACACACGACGACTGTCCACACTGTCTGTGCATACGGGAAGTTCCGGATGCCGGCATGCTACAGCCAGCAGCCCTTCCTACTCCAACTCGTCGGCCTATCTGTGACTCGGTTGGGTTGCTAGTCGAGGGCGGCGAAAACTTCGTGCAAAACCTTACACTCCATCCAAGGAAGGATCTGCCCCGGCTGAGGAAGTGGCCAAGGTGCTAAGAAAGTGGCCAAGTACATGGACTGACAGTTTTCCCTTCTCGGGAATAGTGCCGGTTTTAGTCCGCCGGGATCCGAACTTCCTTTGTTGATGCGTGATGTGGTCAGTCTCAGTGGGGCTGGTGTGTTGAAAAGTCCGCCGCAGTCCGAACTTTTGGGATTGCTGGCCTCCGGCTTCTGTGAGTTGTGGTGGTTTTCCTTTGCGAAGTGCGGGGGGTGATAAGCTCGAATGTTGCAGTCGTTTTGTTTTCCAGTCGCACAACCGCACCTGGGTGCACATGACCACGCGAGATCAGGGTCCTGTGGTCGGAGAGGTCCTGCTTGACTGTAGGCCAAGGTGCTAAGAAAGTGGCCAAGTACATGGACAGACAGTTTTCCCTTCTCGGGAATAGTGCCGGTTTTAGTCCGTCGGGATCTGAACTTCCTTTGTCGATGCGTGATGTGGTCAGTTTCAGTAGGGCTGGTGTGTTGAAAAGTCCGCCGCAGTCCGAACTTCGCGGATTGCTGGCCTCCGGCTTCTGTGAGTTGTGGTGGTTTTCCTTTGCGAAGTGCGGGGGTGATAAGCTCGGATGTTGCAGTCATTTTGTTTTCCAGTCGCACAACCGCACCTAGGTGCATATGACCACGCGAGATCAGGGTCCTGTGGTCGGAGAGGTCCTGCTTGACTGTTGCAACTGTACGAATGTATGGTTCTCATTTTTCGTTTTGTCTTTCTTCTGTTGTACAGGGGTGGTGTCGTCTCGAACACGGAGGTCCTCCAAATATCTAGAGCACATATTGCAGAAAGTCCCCGGGTTGAGTAAAAAACACAAGGATATGTTAAAGGCATCAGTGGTTGATGTCAAGATCGGGAAGGAGTACATCGTTGCCATTGAGGGATGTCTTTCCCTTCTTGCCCCAGAGAAAGGGACATATCCACGATGTGTGAGTAGGGGTCAGGCCATGTATGAGAAGTACTTAGCAACGCGTCATGCACCGGGAGACAATGTCTAGAACTTCGTTTCTCACTACCCCACGTGTCCTTTGCTCGATGTTGTGCAGTGCGGGCAACAAGTGCAGCACGCAGGAAAAGTTTCGCAGCGACGATTGCGCCTCTGAGCTTGCGGGTTTTGGACGACATTATACGAGGCTCGGTGCCGTCTAACACTATTCTCTCTTGGATTGCAGCAAAAGATCTCATCACCCTCTTGCATGTCAACAGCAGGGAGAATGATGAGGTGGTCAATTTCTATATGGCGTTGTTGGGGTCGACCGCATGTGGGTCACGTGACATCTCTTCAGACCTTCAAATCTTCAGCTTTAATTCGTTCTTCTTCGGTAAACTGCAATTTCAAGGACACGGTGGGGTGCAGAGGTGGGCTAAAAACGTAGATTTGCTTCGTTACGATATTATCTTTGTTCGTGTCCACAAAGATGATGATCACTAGATCCTCGTTTCTGTCAACATGAGAGATGATGTTCTCGAAATTTTTGATTCTTTTCCTCGCAATGTAGCTGATTCTAGTTTTTACCTTAGTGTTTTCGAGTTCATTGTGTTGTATTTGGAACGTCAAGCATCACATAGGCGATCGGGTAGGAATTGGAAGTCCATGGTGGGAAATGTTGTGGTGGATGGAGTTCCGAGACAAGTGGATGGAGCAAGCTGTGGAGTGTTCATGTTGATGTATGCGACGTTGTTGCAACATGGAGATCGACCGCCTTTCCGGTTCTCTTGTAAAGATATTCTGCTTCTTAGACGACAATTAGCATCATGTGTCTTAGAACATCGTTGTCTTTGATGAATTTGATTGACTTCGAAACTTTTTTTTAAGGTGTTCCATTCGTTGATCGTTAAATTTCGTAAATCGAGACATTATTCAATTGTCGTTCTGCCAGAGGCATTGCTTTCTTTTATCGTTCCGAGTTCGCGTGATCTACGGCAAGCTCAATGCATGTCCTGCGTCATGTATGGGCTTTGTAATCTATGTCACGTAATGTTCCTTGTTCCGAATTCTGTTCGAGTTGAAGTATTGTGTTCCATGTTTTGAATTCTGTTCAACTGGAAGTGTAAACATGATTGTGAAACTGGTTGGTGGATGAATGAGAAATCTCATCTTATGTGAAATTGATCAGTGGATGCCCAAACCTTCTTTGCATGACCATTTAAAATGCGGATATTCATCGTGATGGGGCACAATTTAATCTAATTCAATCTAATTACATTGCTAATTTTGTTTACAAAAGTTCAACAACTATGGATGTCAGCAAACTTTCGCATTTGGGGCGACTGGGCGGGCATGCCCATGTTCAAACACTGCAGTCAAAAATGAATTCGTAAGAAAGAGGACAGTGTCACAATATAGTTACTGTATCTTTCATCACATTTATGAAATTGAAGTTTGACAAGTTAGGATCACGGCACACTTCTGCACAGGGTTCCCTTTGGCGTGCCAATCGTTGTTCGTTTATAAAGTTTGACTAGTATGGATCCCAACACACTTCCCCACAGGATCACCAATATGTTTTTGAAGTTAAACAAGTAAGGATCCCAACACACTTCCACATTTGGGATTTCATTTATGAAGTTCAACAAGTATGGATCTCAGCACGCTTCTTCATGTGGTTAACCCCTGGATGGGCATGCCTACGTTGCTTAGGCTGCAGCCAAAAATTAATTCGTTAGAAAGAGGACGCAGTATAATGTCCTATTTTAACGAATAACGTGTTACGTGGAGGAAGATGACAAACGAGAAGACGACGACGACGAGTAGCAGCAGACTCGGAGGCAACCTCCTATACACGTCTGCCATGAATGTCGCCTTCGGATGCAGTGTTACGGATGGGCACTATAGAACACGTCGTCCGGCATGCTGACAGATCGGACCGCGGTACCTTCATATGTCGTTGTACGCACAAGACGACATAAGCGGACGCCTGCAGTTCAAATTTCGACCGTTGGGGCCCATCCACTGCCCGCCCATCTTCGGTTTGTCATGCTGCGCGACTCGGCGTCCTCCTCCGCGTTTCGCATCGAAGCCAACGGTCGACTACAGACATCAGGGCACCCTCGCTCGCCCTCCACGCTCCACCCCGCCCGCCAACAACTACCGCTCGTGGCCGTTGCCCCCCTCGGCCCGCCGAATGCCTCCGATGTCCGACCCCGTGGCCCGACGGACAACTTCTGCACCACAGAGTCCGAGACGGCGATGCCATGCACGCGACGCCACGACTCCGCCAAACGCGGTTTCCTAAATTTTTCAGTAGGTCCGGGGCTACTAAAACTTTTAGGATATTTTGCCTGGGGAATCCTAAATTCTTTAGGATGAGTCCTAAGGCCGTTTTCACATTTTCGATCTCAAAATCGGATTTAGGAATGCGTGCAACCACGAAGCAATCCTAAAAACTGGCACTTTTAGGAGTGTCTAACGAGACCCCCACTTTTCGGACTGCAATCGAGTCACCCACGTTTCGGCCCAGGCACAAGTGCTTCACAAACTGGCACTTGGACCGGGAGGCCGGTACAAGCCGAGCCACAACCGAACCGGCACTACCAGGCCACCCAAGGGAGAAGGGAAGACCCACCATCTCTCTCTCTCTCTCTCTCTCTCTCTCTCTCTCTCTCTCTCTCTCTCTCTCTCTCTCTCTCTCTCTCTCTCCCCCCTCTGTTTCCGCCCGCTCCCACTCCCAGTACGACCTGCTCATGCCTGTTCCTGCTCGAACTTCTCCTCCAGCCCGCTCACCCCCGTACTCCTGCAACTGGCAATCACTAATGACATGGCCAGGCAGCCTGCAATGATGACACACCCTCGTTCCGTACATGCTAAACCGATCTGCACTAACCGCGTCCAGAAAAAACAAGGGAACAACGGGCAGAGCTCTATGCCACTCCAGCCACGCAACTCACAGAAAAGGAACAGAACTAGGGACGGAAGAGGAAAATAATAAAAAAAGGGAGTTTGTCCAGACGGTCTGGAGCAGTCCAGACAGAGGTCCAGATCTGTACTGCTCCGGCGTAAGGTGAAATTGAGAGAAGAATCAAGCATAGGGCCTCGCTGCACTAACTCTTGACGCCGCGTCCTGAATTTCCATTCAAGAGCTGTCCTGAGTTTCCATTCAAGAGCTGTCAGATTCACTCTCGAAAACGTCGAGAGTCAGTCATCTCTGCACTAACTGTGGAAAAGTGCTCCTGGTCCCATCCTTCAAGAGGTGTCAAAAACGGCCCATCGGACGAGCTCCTGAAGATTCCACAGTTCCTGCCTGCAGGGGCGAGGCCGACCGGACCCTTCGTGCAGTTTGCAAATTCGAGATTTGGCCTCCAGTCTCGGTGGACAAATCATCGCTGGCCTGTCGTGTAGTGTCTTCTCAGTTTCTCTATCTTCTGTCCGACAGTCAAGAATGCTCACAAGAGTCGAGAGTCAAGGCTAAGTGCAGCGACGACAGCACTTGATGACAATCCAGGACTCTGACAGCGCTAGACGTACTCTTGAAATTTTTCATGTGTCTAGCGTAGTGCAGCGAGGCCCATAGTTATACAAAGGAATTCATCATCCGGGGCTTTTGGATTTTATGGATGAACCAAAGAGATCACAGATTCACCAACAATTTGGGTTGTTTGGCTTTAGGATATGGATAGATAAAAGGGCTCAGAGATTCACTAACAATATTTCGCGGCTTCCACTATTTGCTACAAGTCAATTAAAATAGAATAAAGTAATTACGGCGGACGCGGCATCTCGCGCCGGAAAGGAAACCATGCCCCAACTCGGAATGAGCTACTTCTGTCCGAAAGTACCAGTTGGGCTTTTTTTTGTTTTTGTGTTTTTGGTTTTGCCCTCACTCCCTGTCTCTGGCAGAGAT